TATATTGGTATATTTTTTTTCTTTTCCTTTTTTCTTTCTTTTTTTTTTAGAGTACGAGTGACGTGATACAAAGAAATTCTTCTTCTTAAACGTAACTTAATCCGCCAATAATTACATTCAGACCCGACGAGATTTAAAGTTATCCCGTCCGCTAAGCGGCCGATATCGATTCGGTACAATCGATTCGATAAAATTAATAAAGAGCTCCTGCTAAGCTTCTTACCCGCTGATAAACGGCCACCGAAGTGGACCTTAACGGTTCAAGGGGTGGAAAGGAGTGGCTGGGTTGGATTCCGTAAATGTGATTCTATATTTGTATCGATGGTAATGTAATTACGTACATGTTCGCTTCATGACAACTGGGAACGGGTACCGATTTGCGAGCCCGCTGGACAGATCAGCGATACTTTATACAATTACTCGCGATACGAATGTTCCGTTTTATCAACGTATCTATGAATTAATTAATAAATGTATGGAAAAAGGCGAAGGAAGCAAAATTTCATTAGGATCTTCGAGGAAATTGTGTCTTTCTCCCTTTCTTTCAAGTTTTGCATATATTTGATTGGCTTTTTAAAATCATTGAACAGATTGTAAAAGTATCAATGTACGATATAATGTAAAAATACGGTAAAACGAAGATAAATATAAATTTTAATTTTTATAAATTTATCAAAAGATCGAAATATACGTACAAAGTTTAAGGGAAACGCTGTACTTAAATATTTCCATTGAACCATTTTACGTCATTATCGGTGCAAAACACAAGCTTAGCATTCATATGCAGGATGGTCCGCGTTTCTGGCGGTACAACAGAATGGGGATGAATTCTTAGTGAAAAGATACCTGAAATGTTAGAAGAAACTTTTCTAAGGAAACTTTCATTTTAATGATATCGTTTTAAAGACATATACGACAAATTTCATTGTATATTCTAACTTGCAAATTTCTATCGATAAATTATTTTCCTTGATAGAAAACTAGTTTCTATGAATATTTACTATTGTAGAAATTGCGAGTAGTATCTCCTATGTTTACCGATATAAAATTTTTCAAAGAGAAATAAAATTGAACGCTGTCTGCGAGGAGTTCTGCATTTTCAAGTTTCTAAATGTTGAAACGATACCTAATTGGAGTATCTAACCGTTCAATATTCCACTCGATGATTTACAAATACCTAATCGACAAGAAATAGTACCGTATTAAAAGACGAATAGGCACGCTAAACTGAGTTTCAGTTAACAATAAATATATGTGCAATTATGTGTATGCACCTGTGAAATTTTCCAAAAATTTTATTCACGACAATTCCATTACAGTTTGTTCACTTAATTTTTATAAAAAATTTGTCTCTTTTCAACTGTGCTACCAATCATACCGAATTTATTCGATAGATGTAATCATCAATTTAGTAAATATAGCTCGCATCAGTATAAAATATAAATATCATTTATTTATTCCTATCCGTATTATATCGAACTTATAAAACTAACCTATAAAATCGTTTCTTTCGTGCGTTATACTTTTATCGATACCCAACTTCTAAGTAATTGTTAGAAAATTTGTACGAACATGATAGTTCTGCTTCTCTCTCTTTTTAATCGTAGTATACATTGGCAAAATTTGGGCGAAAACTCACGATACGCGTTACACGTATAAAGATAGTACAATATTCCACTTACGAATTTTTCTGTGGGTTAAGATTTAGTCGCAGATATATATTTAAATATATATAATCTTTTCTTTTTTCAAATTTACACGGTGATTCGCAACTTGTTCGATTTTGTAGAAATTAATGGAAACAGCGAAACGACAAAATAGCGAATGTTTCATGAAATATAACGCTTCGTTACTTGGTTAATCATTTTTTTCTAAAACTATTACACAGAAATGTCTGAATTTTCGTTTGTTCAACTTATTCCTCGTATTAATATGATATAATAGGAAAGATTTGTGGAAAATAAGAGAAGAAAAAGGGGAGGAAAGCCTTTGGATTCGTAGTCGGTTGGAAATTATAATTTGTTGGAAGAACATTCTCGTGAACGAAATAAACCTCTGGTTTCAGATCAGTCAGCTGGTGGAGGAAGTGTCCAGGTTACAGCAGAGCCTGCAGCGTCTCCAAGAGACGAGCGCACAGGCGACGGCGCGACTCGAGGAAGAACTCGAGGCGCGTAGACAGCACATCAACAGACTGGAGAGCAAACTGGAGCGACAGAGGGACTATGACGACCTAAAACGCGAGATAAACGCGCTAAGGTCGGTCGATCTCTCGCAGATACCAACCGGCGAACCTGGCAAGAGCTTAGAGCACCTTCTAATGGAACGCTCGAAGGCGCTTCAGCAAACCGAGAGTTTGAAGCCATCCAACACTCCGGACGCGCTCGGTAAGTCTAAGAAATTCATTTTCTCAACATGGTTACTTCGTATACATAACACGTAGGATTCCATCGACTCGCTTTTCTTTTTACGCAAAATGGCATCGATGTTAGGCGTTGTTGAGAAAAAGTTGTCGAACAAATTGTCGCGCCTACTTTAGATCAGGAATTGCTAGAGACATTTGTAACCAGCTGCAACTATACAAGTACGATACATACGTATTTTTATTATATTACGATATAACGATATATAAT